CCTGCGCGCTCCACTCGAGTCGAACTGCACGGGCTGCACACGCAGGTCATCGTAGGTGAAGCGATACACCTCGGGGCGCGTCATCTGCCGCAGCGCGACGAAACCTCCCTTCCATGGCATGATGGCCCTGTCGCCCGCAAAGATGGTGTCAACCGTGATCTCGACCTCAGCGCCTTTCGCCAAGTCTTCGGCGTCCTCAGCAGCCACCCACACAAGGTCCGCTCGAGGAGCCGGCACGGCGACGCCGGCCGCCTGGACCCCCTGCCCGGGGGGCCGGGGGTCAGCCAGCCCCTGTGGGGGCGGAGGCCCTGCTCGAGGCACCAGGTCTTCTCCTCCCACTCGGCGAACCCGTGGTATCTCGCCAGGAGCCGCGAGCCCGAGGGCCAACGTCTCATCGAGGACCTGCTGACGCAAATCATCCACGGTCGGCACGTCCCTGAATCGGTAGATGGGTGCACCCTGCAGCGCAGGCGGAGTATCCCCGAGACCAGCAGCACCTCGGATCCTGTCGACGTCATCGGAGGCGGGCGAGCAATCCTCTATGTACGCATCCCCGTCGGGGGTCAACATATAATAGTGCCCTGCCTCGGTGGGATGGACCGCCAGCACTATTCTCTCATGCCAGAGGTCGGGACCCGGCACATTGTACTTGACCAGCAGCACATCACCTACTCTCGCCATAGCGACGAGTCTTGATCAGCGCGAGCTGCTTCTGAGCAAGGTCCTGAAGACTTCCCTCTGCCTCTGAGGGCTGAGTAGCCTGGGCCGAAGGCTCGACCCGAGAGGTACGCCTCCTGGTACACACCCACGTTGGTATGGCAACCAGCGCCCCACAGAGCCAGCCCGTCCCGAAGAGGGTGAGCCCGGCAAGCAGGTAAGCCAGGTGCCCGACGACGCCCTTGCCCTCTGACAAGCACTCCACGTGGATCGGCGGGACGTGTACCTCTGGGCAGCGCAGCTCGACCTGCGTCGGCGGCGGCGCTGGACAGGAGAGATTGACCACAGTATCGTGCCGCGCACAGACCGCGGCGGAGATGGCAGACTGAAGAGACAAATCTATCAGTCGGGGCAGGTAGGTGGAAAGCGACTCCCACATGCAGGGAGGAAAGACTAGAACCAAAAAGGCTACACTACAGAGCAATATAGAATGCAGACTCAACTGGGAGCTTTTCGTCGCCGTCGTCGCCGTCGCCGTCGTCGCCGCCGTCGTCGACGCCTTCGTCGTTGTCGTCGACGTCATGGGCGTCGTCGTCGACCGTCGTCTCCGTCATCTTCGTCGTCGTCGTAGCCGTAGCCGTTGTACTCGACGTCGCAACCCAGATAAAGAAATGCAAGACATTCTTCTCCTCCAAGCGCATCCCAGGGCCACGCCATGATCTAGATACGAAATTGTTTGATACTCACATCTTTGGGACGTCGTCGTGGTCATGTTCGTCGTTGTCGTCGTCGTCGCCCACGTTTTCGTCATCGTCGCCGTCGCCGTCGTCGCCGTCGTCGTCGTCGTCGTCGTCGCCTTCGTCGTCGTCGGCATCTGGCGCGGACGTCGCCGGGTGTGTCGGCGTGGGGCTGAGGACTGCAGGGCGGAGGAGAGGTGTTTCAACGCGCTACCAACGGCGCAACGCCCGCACGTCGGCTGGCCCGCGTAGGGGCGCACAAGAGCGCCCATGTGCAGGCGCCCATGGGAGCGGTGGGCATGGTATGGTAGGCATGGTTTGGCAGGTACGGTATGGTACGCATGGTAGTAGGAGTCGTACGGAGGGTATGGTTAGATAAGTATGGTATGGGAGGCAGGGTAAGGTATATATGGTATGGTATGGTAGGTCGGGTATGGTAAGTACAGTATGGTAGGTAGTGCGTTGTAGATGTGTCATGATAGGTGTGGTATGTAGGTGTGGTACGGCTTGAGTGGTATGGTAAGTGTGTCAGGGAAGGCGTCGTAAGGTTGGTAAGGTGTGATACGAACGGTGCAGTAGGTCTGATATGGTAAGAATGTTGTGGGAGGTATGGTGCGGTGGGGCATGTTATGTTAATTCTGGTATCGTCGGTATGGTATTCTAGGTATGGTATGATAAGTCTGGTACGGTACGGTAGGTAGAGTATGGCAGGTATGGTATGATAAGTATGATCGGATGTTGGGGGGTGAGATCGCAGTGGAACGGAGAGCCCCCACCAAGAAATCAATGTCAGTTCCGTGTTCATGTCGTGCGTGACGGCGAGGTGAAGCTGCGTGAGCGCGCGAGAGGAATGACCTCGCCCTCGCTAGGGCGATTCGGATGCAATGGACCGCCCCTCCGCCCCCGGTGGGCGCGCGGTGGCCCGGTGTGTCCCGCGGTGGTGTCCCGCGGTGGTGTCCCGTTGGTGTTACGTCGGTGTTCCGTCGGCGGTGGGCGGGCGGTGGGAGGGGGTGTCCATCCTTGGTATCGATAGTGAAGTCGATTGTGAAATCGATCATGAGATCGCTAGAATGGGATGGATCGAGAGATCAGACGTGGGATCGACAGTGGGGTCGATTGCGATACGGGTTGTGAGATCGATCGTGAGATCGATAGAGGAATCGATAGTGAGATCGATGGTGCGATCGAGTGTCATCGATCCTGTGAGATCGATAATGGGATCGATCGAGTGAGATCGAAAGCGGGGACGATAGAGACTTTCCATCGCAGAGCAACATCGTCATCACGCGTCGTCGCTAACTCGAGAGCGCGTCACCAGCATCGCCATCATCACACGCATCGCATTTGCCAGCAGTTGGCTCTTTCCCCCCCCCCCACCTCTCCACCTCCTGATCACCCGAAGGATGGTCGTATAGGCATGGTACGTCTGGTACAGGTCTGGCATGGTAGATTTGGTGTTGCAGGTATGGTGCCAGCATGTGCGATGGCGTCTGTGTAGGGGCAGTGTGTGCGTTGTCGCCTGTGCGGTGCTGCTATCAATATGTTGGCTACGTCCGCTTCGTATGCAGTTGGGCGAAAGCAACGGCGCAAGCTACCTTGAAGCATCACGCGACCATGTACTGAGGTCACGCAGACATTGCGCCTGCAAATGATGTCCCAGGCCTTCCATGCGAGCCTTAAGAGTCAACTGCTTGGCGCATGCCTCTGAAGGACGGCTAGCGTCCGCATGGTCGTCCTCCCATAGGAGACCTCCGACAGCAAACCCTGTTCGCCCTAAATGCTTCACGTACATATTCAGATATTTGATGCCACTGTCCGTACGTCCGTGAACGACTTTTAGCTCAACCTTACCAAGGGCAACCCATTGGGGAGTCTTCACTTCATAGTGCGATGCGCTGTAATGATACCCTCCAGGATGTGCTGCATCTGCCCATGACCCTGTAACGCTCACGTTTGGAAATACATCTCCGCACAGTGTCCTCCCAGTCGAGATGCAACGGCCGAGACGTGAAGCAACGCACTTGCAACGCTCATCCCGCGTGGAATATTGATCAGAATGTGTGCTTGCCCGCCTGCATGAAGTCGAACCGATCATCGGGGACGGAAAAACTGCAGAAACGAAACTGTTCGGAGGTCCGCACGGATTTCTTGGATCGGCGCTGGAGCCCCCTGGCGGCGCCTCTGGCGCCGCCACTGGCGCTCCGCGCGGATTTCTTGGATCGGCGCTGGAGCCCCCTGGCGGCGCCCCTGGCGCCGCCCCCTGGCGCTCTCCGAGCGCCCGGGGAGGGCGTCCAGCGCCGATCCAAGAAGACATCCGCGTGGACCTCCGAAAGTTTATGTTTGTGCCATTTTTGCTCCTCTACGGCAGGTTCGTGTCGTGCCGACCCCAGTGTTGGTTTTTGACACCGCAGGGATCGTTCAACTTTGAACGATCGGCCGCTGCCGCAACGTCCGATCGTTCAACATCGATCGACTCTGGGTCGCCGGCGGCGTTCAACCTTGAACGCCCGCGCTGGGGTCGCCGCTGGTCGACACGACGCAAACATACCGTAGCTCACCATGAATGTTCTGCAGATGGGGATCACCAACGGCAGCAGCCCAGTCTGGTGGCGTCGGGCTGGGCGTCGGGGCAGAAATCGGTGCCAACCACACGAAGTGTGTTGTCGATCCCCGTGCCCGTGACCCAGTCGGTGCGCTGACCGGCACTCAGGAGAGCCTCCCTCTGCCCAGAAGTCATGGATGCCGCCGTAGGGTAAAGCTCGTACAGGATGGCCGCGAGCCCGGAGACGTGCGGATAGGCCATGGACGTGCCCGACAGAAAGACCGTGGCGGTGTCGCTGCTTACGCGCGTCGATGTGATGCTCGAGCCCGGAGCCCAGACATCAACTTTAGAGCCGTAATTGCTGAAACTGGACCTGGCCCTTCCCGATGCATAAGATCCCACCGTGATCGCCGAATCGATCCAACCAGGATTGTAGCCAGACGCATCAGTGTTCTGGTTCCCTGCAGCCACCACCACGGTCACTCCAGCGGCAGCGCGTTGATTGAGGTCTCCTCGGCGACCCAGTTGCCAGGGCCCGACAGACTCATGCTGACCACGGCGGGCTTTGGGCCACTCGACAAAACCCACTGCTCGGCTGCAATGGACCAGGAGATGTAGCCGTCGCCATTGACATCGAGGACCTTCATTGCCCAGAGCTTCGCGCCATCTGCGACGCCATACGTGCTGGCCCCCGCCGTGCCCGCGCAGTGCGTGCCGTGCCCGTGACGTCTGCAGCGCACGTTGTGCTACCGCTCGGGCACACTGTGAGAACGCCCGTGGCGGCCACGTCTACTCCTGCGAAGGCCCGACCCCCGAACTCGACGCGGGTTGTGCGAATTCTGGTGTCCAGCACATACACGTTCACCCCCACGCCCCGTCCCCGGATCACGTCCGCATTGATGTCTTGGATGCCCCATGGGTATGCCGAAACTACAGAGACTCCGGTGGATGCCTCATCGATAGCGTCGTCTGGACTTCTTGATTCGAAGAAGTCCTCTTCGACTGCCTCCACGAGCCCTGGGTAGAGCGCCTGGACCTTCTCCACCACCGTCGCGAGTTCCACTTCAGTCCAAATGCTCCTCCACAAATGGCACTTCACCAATGTCCGGATTGGTCGACATTGCCGTCGGATGGAGCTCCTGGACAACGCTTTGCAGCATTTCACCCGTAGTACCTTCCTTAATCATGAACATCCACGTCGACGTCTTATTCTCAGTGGCCTCAGGTTCACCATCGACCGTACGGCGGCCATTCGGCGCACGGCGGTGTATACGCACACCAGCATGCGTGAAGAACTCCCTCCCAAAATCATCCTTCGACGCTGTCGGAGTCGGCCACATCTGCATCAGCTGGAGGTCTCCTGAAGAGGCCAAGCCAGCAGCATAGTGGGTCCCAGCAAGGCTGACAACCAGAAGAGCAAGTGCCATCGGCATCGTGGAGAAAACAAAAGCCGAGTGCAAGATGAAAAGTATACTTGTCTGCGTACGACTGTGAAAATGAGCCCCCAAATGGCCAAAATGGACTCTACCGAAACCCCAAGATGTCCACGAGGCTCCTGGAACCTGAAGTGGCGCCCTGGTCGTCCATCGAGGGGATGGCCCAGGAGACCCTGGCCCCAGTCCTCGTCCTGGCTTCGTCTCGTGCCCCGTCACGAACGCGTTTCAGTCTCGGGAAACGCGAAGAACCAAAGGGGAGCCCCAGCTTCAAGCTACCCCACCCCTTCTTCCACCAGGGGGCGGGCTTCCGAAGCTACCCCCCGACCCTGAGCAACCTGCGAAACTGATGGTGGGGGCTTCGGAAGCCCCCACCTTTCCCCTTTCGGGGCCGGGATAAGCTCGGGCTTCCCTTTGCAAAGGGAGGGGGGGACTTCGGAAGCTCCCCCACCCACCCCCGCTGCTGTAGAGGGAGGGGAGTCGGAAGCCCCATCCGCACTTTTGGGTTTCCAGCCTAAGCCACGGCTTAGCTTTCCAGAAGGGTGGGGGTCCGAAGCTCCCCCCTTCGCGAAACTTGGAGCTGCCGGGGCTCGGGGAGGAGGGACCCGAAACTACAGCCCTTTGCTTTGCTCGGGGCTCAGAATAAGCACGGGCTTACCGGTGCGGGGGGAGGGACTTCCGAAACGACTCACCTTCCTCTCTGAGTTCTGAGCTGTCGTAAAACTGCGGGACGGTGGTGCTGTTGTCGTCGTCGTCGTCGTCGTCGTCGTCGTCGTCGTCGTCGTCGTCGTCGTCGTCGTCGTCCATGTCGTGGTCGTCGTCTCAGGTCTTAGGGCCAAAGGCCTACTCCAGATTTTGTAATAAAGGGAGGGGGGTCTCATGTCGGGGGGGGGTCTCTTCCAGGCTATCTTGGAGGGCCTGGGGGGGTCTGGGGACGATGTTTTGGAGGGTTCTCCCACGGGGGGGGTCTAAAACTTATCGTCTGGGAGGCTTGAGGCCCCCTCCAATTTATTACGAAATCTGGAGTAGGCCTTTAGACTTGGGGCTTAAGTCTTATGGCTTGCGGCTTGGGGCTGCGGGCTCCGGACTTGGAGCATGGGGCGTAGACCTCAGGGCCCGGGGCCGAGTGGCGAGGGCTGAGGACCGAGGGCTTAGTTCCTACGGTTTAGAGCTTCGGGTTTAGGTAATAGGGCTTACGTCTTAGGACTTGGGGCATGGGGCTTAGGCTCAGGGCTCAGGGCCGGGTGCTGAGGACTTCGGGCTCAACGCTTAGGGCTTAGGTCGTAAGGCTCAGGGCTGAGGCTTAGGGCTCAGGATTCATGGCTGAGGGCTGAGGGCGGGCTCGGGGTCTTCGGGGCGCAGGGGCTAGCTTTTAGGGCACAAGGATCAGGGCTGAGAACCTCGGGCGTAGGGCTTAGCTCTGAAGGGTTAGGGCGTGGGGTTCTCGGTTTTCGGGCTTAGGTCTTAGCCCTTAGGGCAACAGGCTTCGGGTTTGGGCCATAGGAAGGGCTAGGGCTTGGGGCTTGGTCGTAAGGCTCTGGACTTTGGGCTTGACGCTTAAGGCTTTGGTCTAAGGGCTTGAGGCATCGAGATTCGGGCTCAGGGTGAAGGGCCGAAGGCTGAATGCTAAGGGCTGGGGACTGAGAATTTAGGACTGTGGGCCTCGGTATGAGAGCGGATGGGGTTAGCATTCAGGGCTCCCGGCTGAGGGCTCGGTGCTGAAGGCTCCTGTTAAGAGTTAGGTATGAGGGTTAAGGTTTAGGTCTTAGGGCTGAAGACCCGGGGCTTGGGGCTCAGGGCCGAGGACTTAAAGGGCTTTGCGCTTGGGTCTTAGAGCTCAGGGATTGGGGCTTCGAGCTCAGGGCTTCGGTCTTGGAGCTTTGGGCTTCGGACGGAGGGCTAAAGACTTGGGGCTCATGGCTCAGGTTGTGGGGCGCATGGCTTGAGGCTTGGGTCTTAGGGTTCATGGCTTGGGGGCGAGGGGATCGGCATGGGTTGGGGTTGAAGACTTCGGCCTCAGGGGGAATCGGGGTTCGGCATTGGGGCTTAGGGCTCAGGACCCCACTAGCCCACTCGAAGCCTTTTGGCCGCGCCCCACCTACCCAAAACCCACGACATGCAGAACTCAACGCTTCGACGACGATGACTCAGCGCGGTGCGACGCGCGCAACGTTTATGCGACGCCTCGATGGCCGATGCAGCGCCGGTGCGCAACAGAGCCCAGGCGATCAGCGGTTTGCTCTCCACAGCAGATTGCCGAGGCATGGACGGCCATCCCATGCCCAGCGGGTGCTGGGCGGGTCTGGAGGAGCGCCACAGAGACGGTGAAGGCGTTGTCTCCCCCTCTGCGTCACTGGCGCTGAGCCGAGCCCTCGGGCGCATCCCGATGGCAGCGCGAGGCCATCGCGATAGATGGCTCGTAAGTAGATGGCTTGCGCCAATGCCGCCGCTGCGCGCGGCGCGGCCCCCTCGGAGAGCTTCACCGTGCAGTTGCGCCTTCCACAGGAAGCTTCTCGGCGAGATGATGGGCCTGTTTTCCACCACCACCACCATGAGTTGGAGGGGGGAAGGAGGTGGAGGATGAGGAGGAGGAAGAAGACGAGGGGGAGGAGAATCCCCTCCCCCCTCCAACTTATGGTGGTGGTGGAAAACAGGCCCATCACGAGAGGCTCTCGGTGGTCGGGGTGTTTTCTGGTCGCGGCAGCCTCGCCGAGCCGACTCCGCGCGCTTGGTTGCGCCTCGTGGTGGACGCACGACGAGGCAGGCGGCCATCGCCGCGCGGAGCCCCAAGGAGCCGCGCCCAGCCTCCACGCGGCGGCCCCAGGGGACGGGCACGGGCGCGGCTCTGAGCCCGCGAGGGTCGAGGTCGCGCCCGCAACTTTCGCGAAGGGCATGATCGCTGATGCGCAGAAGCGCCCTGCGACTACAGTCAACCAGTATAGTAAGGATGCGCGATATTGGTGCAAGGGCCTTGGACGCCCATTTCGAAGCTTTTCGAGCGGGGCGCGGCCAGCGAAAGGTGCGAAGAATGGACCGAGGAGGCAAGGATGCAAGGGTACCCTTGGGAAGGTTGCCCATCCTTACTATGCGGGTTGACTGTAGCGAAAAAGCTTGCTGCGCGGTGCAATGTACCGAGACCTAGACGCGGGAGCGCCTGCGGAAGCGGGAGCGCCTGCGGAAGCCTCGAGGCGCCCGGCGGCGCACGGGATCGCCCGGGGAGCGCCTGGGAGCGCGCAAGTCTGGCGAGGCTTGCCCCAAGAGTTCGGGAGCGCCTGGAAGCGTCTGGGGAGCGCCTGGGAAGCCTGGAGCAGCCTGCAGGTGCACGGGGAGCTGGCAGCGCCGAGGCGCGCCTGGGTAGCGCTAGGTAGCGCCTGGGGACGCCTCGAGGCGCCTGGGATGCGCCTGCTTCCCCCCCTCACCTCCCCACCTCCTGATCACCCGAAGGATGGTCGTATAGGCATGGCACGTCTGGTACAGTAGGTCTGGCATGGTAGATTTGGTGTTGTAGGTATGGTGCCAGCATGTGCGATGGCGTCTGTGTAGGGGCAATGTGTGCGTTGTCGCCTGTGCGGTGCTGCTTTCAATCCGTTGGCTACGTCCGCTTCGTGTGCAGTGGGACGAAAGCAAAGGCGGAAGCTACCTTGAAGCATCAATCGACCATGTACTCAGGTCACGCAGACATTGCGACTGCAAATGATATCCCAGAGGAACCCTGGCCTTCCATGTGAGCCTTAAGAGTCAACTGCTTGGCGCATGCCTCTGAAGGACGGCTAGCGTCCGCATGGTCGTCCTCCCCCAGAAGACCTCCAACAGCAAACCCTGTTCGCCCTAAATGCTTCACGTACAGATTCAAATAGTTGATGCCACTGTCCGTACGTCCGTGAACGACTTTTAGCTCAACCTTACCAAGGGCAACCCATTGCGGAGTCTTCACTTCATAGTGCGATGCGCTGTAATGATACCCTCCAGGATGTGCTGCATCTGCCCAAGACCCTGTAACGCTCAAGTTTTGGAAATACATATCCGCACAATGTCCTCCCAATCGAGATGCAACGGCCGAGACGTGAAGCAGCGCATTTGCAGCGCTCATCCCGCGTGGGATATTGATCAGAATGTGTTTGCCCGCCTGCATTAAGTCGAACCGATCATCGGGGACGGAAAAACTGCAGAAACGTGACCTTGCGGAGGTCCGCGCGGATTTCTCGGATCGGCGCTGGAGCCCCCTGGAGGCGCCTCTGGCGCCGCCCCTGGCGCGCTCCGCGCGCCAGGGAAGGGAGTCCAGCGCCGATCCAAGAAATCAGCGCGGACCTCCGAAAGTTTATGTTCATGCCATTTTTTGTTCCTCTAGCTCACCATGAATATTCTGCAGATGGGGATCACCAACGGCAGCAGCCCCGTCTGGTGGCGTCGGGCTGGGCGTCGGGGCAGAAGTCGGTGCCAACCACACGAAGTTGTTGTCGATCCCCGTGCCCGTGACCCAGTCGGTGCGCTGACCGGCACTCAGGAGAGCCTCCCTCTGCCCAGAAGTCATGGATGCCGCCGTAGGGTAAAGCTCGTACATGATGGCCGCGAGCCCGGAGACGTGCGGACAGGCCATGGACGTGCCCGACAACGTGTTCGTGGCGGTGTCGCTGCTTACGCCCGTCGATTTGATGCTCGAGCCCGGAGCCCAGACATCAACTTTAGAGCCGTAATTGCTGAAACTGGACCTGGCCCCTCCCGACGCATAAGATCCCACCGTGATCGCCGAATCGATCCAACCAGGATTGTAGCCGGACGCATCACTGTTCTGGTTCCCTGCAGCCACCACCACGGTCACTCCAGCGGCCACCAGCGCGTTGATTGAGGTCTCCTCGGCGACCCAGTTGCCAGGGCCCGACAGACTCATGCTGACCACGGCGGGCTTTGGGCCACTCGACAAAACCCACTGCTCAGCTGCAATGGACCAGGAGATGTAGCCGTCGCCGTTGTCATCGAGGACCTTCATTGCCCAGAGCTTCGCGCCATCTGCGACGCCATACGTGCTGGCCCCCGCCGTGCCCGCGCAGTGCGTGCCGTGCCCGTGACCGTCTGCAGCGCACGTTGTGCTACCGCTCGGGCACACTGTGAGAACGCCCGTGGCGGCCACGTCTACTCCTGCGAAGGCCCGACCCCCGAACTCGACGTGGGTTGTGCGAATTCCGGTGTCCAGCACATACACGTTCACCCCCACGCCCCGTCCCCGGACCACGTCCGCATTGATGTCTTGGATGCCCCATGGGTATGTCGAAGCTACAGAGACTCCTGTGGATGCCTCATCGATAGCGTCTTCTGGAATTCTTGATTCGAAGAAGTCCTCTTCGACTGCCTCCACAAGCCCTGGGTAGAGCGCCTGGACCTTCTCCACCACCGTCGCGAGTTCCACTTCAGTCAAGTGCCCCTCCACAAATGGCACTTCACCAATGTCCGGATTGGTCGTCATTGCGGTCGGATGGAGCTCCTGGACAACGCTTTGCAGCATTTCACCCGTAGCACCTTCCTTAATCATGAACATCCACGTCGACGTCTTATTCTCAGTGGCCTCAGGTTCACCATCGACCGTACGGCGGCCATTCGGCGCACGGCGGTATATACGCACACCTGCATGCGTGAAGAACTCCCTCCCAAAATCATCCTTCGACGCTGTCGGAGTCGGCCACATCTGCATCAGCTGGAGGTCTCCTGAAGAGGCCAAGCCAGCAGCATAGTGGATCCCAGCAAGGCTGACAACCAGAAGAGCAAGTACCATCGGCATCGTGGAGAAAACAAAAGCCAAGTGTAAGATGAAAGATATACTTGTCTGCGTACGTCTGTGAAAATGAGCCCCCAAATGGCCAAAATGGACTCTACCGAAACCCCAAGATGTCCACGAGGCTCCTGGAACCTGAAGTGGCGCCATGGTCGTCCATCGAGGGGATGGCCCAGGAGACCCTGGCCCCAGTCCTCGTCCTGGCTTCGTCTCGTGCCCCGTCACGAACGCGTTTCAGTCTCGGGAAACGCGAAGAACCAAAGGGGGGCCCAGGTTCAAGCTACCCCAACCCTTCTTCCACCAGGGGGCGGGCTTCCGAAGCTACCCCCCGACCCTGAGCAACCTGCGAAACTGATGGTGGGGTCTTCGGAAGCCCCCACCTTTCCCCTTTCGGGGCCGGGATAAGCTCGGGCTTCCCTTTGCAAAAGGAGGGGGGGACTTCGGAAGCTCCCCCACCCACCCCCGCTGCTGTAGAGGGAGGGGAGTCGGAAGCCCCATCCGCACTTTTGGGTTTCCAGCCTAAGCCACGGCTTAGCTTTCCAGAAGGGTGGGGGTCCGAAGCTCCCCCCTTCCACCCCTTCGCGAAACTTGGAGCTGCCAGGGCTCGGGGAGGAGGGACCCGAAACTACAGCCCTTTGCTTTGCTCGGGGCTCAGAATAAGCACGGGCTTACCAGTGCGGGGGGAGGGAATCCGAAACGACTCACCTTCCTCTCTGAGTTCTGAGCTGTCGTAAAACTGCGGGACGGTGGTGCTGTTGTCGTCGTCGTCGCCGTCGTCGTCGTCGTCGTCGTCGTCGTCCATGTCGTGGTCGTCGTCTCAGGTCTTAGGGCCGAGGGCCTAGGACTTTAGACTTAGGGCTTAAGTCTTATGGCTTGCGGCTTAGGGCTGCGGGCTCCGGACTTGGAGCATAGGGCGTAGACCTTAGGGCCCGGGGCCGAGGGCCGAGGGTTGAAGACTGAGGGCTTAGTTCCTACGGTTTAGAGCTTCGGGTTTAGGTAATAGGGCTTACGTCTTAGGGCTTGGGGCATGGGGCTTAGGCTTAGGGCTTAGGGCTGGGTGCTGAGGATTTCGGGCTTAACGCTTAGGGTTTAGGTCATAAGGCTTAGGGCTGAGACTTAGGGTTCAGGGTTCATGGCTGAGGGCTGAGGGCTCGGGGTCTTCGGGGCGCAGGGGCTAGCGTTTGGGGCACAAGGATCAGTGCTGAGAACCTCGGGCGTAGGGCTTAGCTCTGAAGGGTTAGGGCGTGGGGTTCTCGGTTTTCGGGCTTAGGTCTTAGGCCTTAGGGCAACAGGCTTCGGGTTTGGGCCGTAGGAAGGACTAGGGCTTGGGGCTTGGTCGTAAGGCTCTGGACTTTGGACTTGACGCTTAAGGCTTTGGTCGAAGGGCTTGGAGCATCGGGATTCGGGCTTAGGGTGAAGGGCCGAAGGCTGAATGCTAAGGGCTGGCGACTGAGAATTTAGGACTGCGGGCCTCGGTATGAGAGCGGATGGGGTTACCGTTCAGGGCTCCCGGCTGAGGGCTCGGGGCTGAAGGCTCCTGTTAAGGAGCTAGGTATGAGGGTTAAGGTTTAGGTCTTAGGGCTGAAGACGTGGGGCTTGGGGCTCAGGGCCGAGGACTTAAAGGGCTTTGCGCTTAGCTCTTAGAGCTCAGGGATTGGGGTTTCGAGCTCAAGGCTTCGGTCTTGGAGCTTTGGGCTTCGGACGGAGGGCTAAAGACTTGGGGCTCATGGCTCAGGTTGTGGGGCGCATGGCTTGAGGCTTGGGTCTTAGGGTTCATGGCTTGGGGGCGAGGTGATCGGCTTGGGTTGGGGTTGAAGACTTCGGTCTCAGGGGGATCGGGCCCCGATCGGGCTTCAACATTGGGGCTTAGGGCTCGGGGCCCAACTAGCCCACTCGAAGCCTTTTGGACGCGCCCCACCTACCCAAAGCCTTTTGGACGCGCCCACCTACCCAAAACCCACGACATGCAGAACTCAACGCTTCGACGACGATGACTCAGCGCGGTGCGACGCGCGCAGCGTTTATGCGACGCCTCGATAGCCGATGCAGTGCCGGTGCGCAACAGAGCCCAGGCGATCAGCGGCTTGCTCTCCACAGCAGATTGCCGAGGCATGGACGGCCATCCCATGCCCAGCGGGTGCTGGGCGGGTCTGGAGGAGCGCCACAGAGACGGCGAAGGCGTTGTCTCCCCCTCTGCGTCACTGGCGCTGAGCCGAGCCCTCGGGCGCATCCCGATGGCAGCGCGAGGCCATCGCGATACATGGCTCGTAAGTAGATGGCTTGCGCCAATGCCGCCGCTGCGCGCGGCGCGCCCCCCTCGGAAAGCTTCACCGTGCAGTTGAGCCTTCCACAGGAAGCTTCTCAGCGAGATGATGGGCCTGTTTCCCACCACCACCACCATGAGTTGGAGGGGGGAAGGAGGTGGAGGATGAGGAGGAGGAAGAAGACGAGGGGGAGGAGAACCCCCTCCCCCCTCCAACTTATGGCGGTGGTGGTGGAAAACAGGCCCATCACGAGAGGCTCTCGGTTGTCGGGGGGGTTTCTGGTCGCGGCAGCCTCGCCGCGCCGACTCCGCGCGCTTGGTTGCGCCGCGTGGTGGACGCACGACGAGGCAGGCGGCCATCGCCGCGCGGAGCCCCAGGGAGCCGTGCCCAGCCTCCACGCGGCGGCCCCAGGGGACGGGCACGGGCGCGGCTCTGAACCCGCGAGGGTCGAGGTCGTGCCCGCAACTTTCGCGAAGGGCATGATCGCTGATGCGCAGAAGCGCCCTGCGATTACAGTCAACAAGCAAGGGCCTTGGACGCCCATTTCGAAGCTTTTCGAGCGGGGCGCGGCCAGCGAAAGGTGCGAAGAATGGACCGAGGAGGCAAGGATGCAAGGGTACCCTTGGGAAGGTTGCCCATCCTTACTATGCGGGTTGACTGTAGCGAAAAAGCTCGCTGCGCGGTGCAATGTACCGAGACCTAGACGCGGGAGCGCCTGCGGAAGCCTCAAGGCGCCTGGCGGCGCACGGGATCGCCCGGGGAGCGCCTGGGAGCGCGCGAAAGTCTGGCGAGGCTTGCCCCAAGAGTTCGGGAGCGCCTGGAAGCGTCTGGGGAACGCCTGGGAAACCTGGAGCAGCCTGCAGGTGCACGGGGAGCTGGCAGCGCCGGGGCGCGCCTGGGTAGCGCTAGGCAGCGCCTGGGGGCGCCTCGGGGCGCCTGGGCTGCGCCTGGGAGCGCATGCAAATTTTGCGCGCCCTCCTTGAGAGCTCGGGAGCGCCCGCCTTGGGAGCGCCTGGAACGCCTCAGAAAGCGCCTGGGGGCGCTTGGGGCCGCTTACGGAAGTAGCTTTCGGATCTAAATCAGAGTGAGGAGGCCGAACGGTCATTCACTGTCCCTGGGTGCGTGGCTGAAGTAGGATTCCGCGGTGCGGATTACTGTTGTTGTTGCGTGTTGTTGGTTGTTGTTGTTTGTTGTTGTTGTTGGTGTTGCTGCTGTTGTTGTTGTTGGTGTTGATGTTGTTGTTGGTGGTGGTGGTGTTGTTATTGTTGCTGTTGTTGATGTTGGTGTTGTTGTTGGTGTTGGTGTTGTTGTTGTTGGTGTTGGTGTTGGTGTTGTTGTTGGTGGTGTTGCTGTTGTTGTTGATGTTGTAAATGTTGTTGATGTTGTTGTTGATGTTGCTACTGCTGCTGCTGATGTTGTTGGTGTTGTTGTTGGTGGTGGTGGTGTTGTTGTTGTTGTTGGTGGTGTTGTTGTTGTCGTTGTCGTTGTTGCTGTTGTTGTTGTTGGTGTTGTTGTTGGTGTTGTTGTTGTTGTTATTGTTGTTGTTGGTGGTGTTGTTGTTGGTGTTGTTGTTGTTGTTGGTGGTGGTGTTGTTGTTGTTGTTGGTGTTGTTGTTGTTGCTGCTGCTGATGCTGCTGGTGTTGGTGTTGCTGTTGTTGTTGGTGGTGTTGCTGTTGCTGTTGCTGTTGCTGTTGTTGTTGTTGTTGAACACTATTACTTCTTGGCCCCCCCGCCGCGCCTAGGCCGCAGCCACGTTTTCATCATTTTCGTCAGGAAGTCTCAGGCAAAACGGGTTGGTCCGGATCCGGTTGTGTTGTTACGATCGGTTTTCCCTTGCAAAAAAAAAAAAAAAACTAAAGTGGACATTTCTTGTTCTAACATATCCAAACTTCAAGAATCCCTTGCAAAAAAAAAAGGTAAAGTGGACATTCGCGCGCGCAAGACGAAATCCTTCCAAAACCTTAGTTTTCGTAGCGATTTTAACATAAAAACATCAAAAAACCAATGGTTTTTTCAAAAAAAAAAAATGTCAAAATTTCATCTCGCGCGCTCTTGCGGATTCGTAGGAAACCCAACACTTTTTAAACATTTCTGTCAAACGGGCTTTTGCGAGCAACTTTTTCGAACTTCTGCAACAACGGTTGCGCACCTGCCAGGGCCATCATCCCTGTCAAATAATACCATGCGGGACACATTAGTTTTTTCTTCGCGCGCGCACGCCGTCGTCGTCGGCCGCGGGGCCCTGAATAGTAGCCACGGTCGTCCGCATGCCACGAAGTGAAGTGTCCGAACGTCATAGGGCGGGAAGCTGGGTGTGGGTGGTGGCGAAGAGTCGTTTGGAAATTTGGTAGAGCTTGAACCGGCCCCCCCACAAAGTGGGGGTATTGCCCGCCTCCTATGAAAACCCTGGCACTGGTGAGAACGGAATGTCCCCACGTGCTAGTAATTGTTGTTGTTGTTGTTACTGTTGTTGTTGTTGCTTGTCGTCCACCCGCAACCCGCCCCGCGACCCACCCCGCGACCACCCGCGACCCACCCCGCGACCCACCCGCGACCCACCCGCGACCCACCCGCGACCCACCCCGCGACCCCGCGACCCCCCGCGACCCACCCGCGACCCACCCGCGACCCACCCGCGACCCACCCGCGACCCACCCCGCGACCCACCCCGCGACCCACCCGCGACCCACCCGCGACCCACCCCGCGACCCGCCCGCGGCCCACCCCGCGACCCACCCGCGACCCACCCGCGACCCACCCGCGACCCACCCGCGACCCACCCGCGACCCACCCCGCGACCCACCCGCGACCCACCTTCGACCCAAACCACGTTCAAGGTACAAACCACAATTTCCGGCGCCCGCGGCGAGTTTTTTCCATTCCTTC